TTATCTCCTGTTAATTCCCCTCTCCAAGTTCTCAACTGCCTTAACTGGGTATTGAACGCATACTTTTTGGGTCCTGTCACTGGATCTAACTAATGCCTTTATCTACTGTGCCACGTGTCCTTGAGGAAACATTGTAATAAATATGGTGACAAAGATGAAAACAATAGTTGAATAATGTAAATAATACCTCATATATATATATATATATATATATATATATATATATATATATATATAAGAATTGGACAAAGTCCGACAATTTATTAAAGACATTTTTATGTTTAACATTCTTTTTATAGATACAAGTATTTAAGTAAATGCTCTGTTTATAATAAACAGTATTAAATAACATTTACCGACCTGAATGTCCGAGAAATTTTCAAAGGACTAATATTTTCTATGAAAATTTCTCGGACATTCAGGTCGGTAAATGTTATTTAATACTGCTTATTATAAACAGAGCATTTACTTAAATACTTGTATCTTCTTTTTTTATAAAGAATGTTAAACATAAATATATATATATATATATATATATATATATATATATATATATATATATATATATATATATATATTAATAAATATACATATACCTAGGTTCGAAGCAATTCAAACGTAGGTATAGGTATATTTATTTATAAATATATAATTCTTAGCTCTGTCTAATCACATTCAATACTGTTTTGTATATCCCTTAAATTAAATTTATTTAATATTTATTTGTTTGCCTGTGTAGGCACACTAACGCACGAATATACAGTTGCTAATATCAAGTTATTTCATTTATCCACGTTGATACCTATTTACATATATATATATATTATAAATTAACTGATTTAAAAATATGGTTTCTTCGCTACACAGGTATTACCATGTTTCAAAAACGTTCGAAAAAGAGGTTAAGTCTAGGTAAGTTAGTGGTGCATTTTTCAACAAATTATGACATCCGTTCAACGCATGTCGTCTGTCTTTTTTTTTTTGCTAACTTTTTTTTGTTTTTTTTATCAACGACAGAAAGTTTTTCGGCATGTTTTTCCGTTAAATTCGTACTTGTATACATAAAGATTCTTTCTAAAAGGGGTGTTTGGGTTAGAATACCTTATATTAAACTACAATTTTAAGATATTATTTTTACTCTTAATTACTAATAAACTATATTTCTTTTTAAAAAAAATAATGTATTACAATTACTTAATTTATTTAAAAATTATTATTACATATCAAATATAAGTATGTATATTACCAGCTCCCATTTTTTTTAATTATTTTATTTTATTTTTAAGTATTATTTAAGGAAAAATTTTGACAATGTCGGCAAAGAATAGCTATTTCATTTCTTTGATTCAATTTTTATTTTTTTATATTTTTTATAAAAAATATAAAAAATAAAATATGAAAAATAAAAAATATAAATAAAGTTGGCTGGAAAGCATGTAGCCGAAAGGGAGTTCAACATGCGAGAAGTGCGAGAAAAGAAACTGTTAGCATAGAATTTACGGCTACATCTAGCCAGATCAACTGTAAATTGATGAGTTCACACCAGTCTAGCACTGCGCTTAAATCATACAGTCTAGGTACCATAGCTAACAGATCATCCGAATAATTACCATGAAAGTATTTACAGAAAAGTCACAGAGAGGCAACGTTACATAAATAAATCTCCTTGGAATTCATGCAAATATTATGGCTAAAACCCAAAATCTACTTTACAGAGCTATTCTGAAAGTGAATTAACTCACCATGAAAATTTGACTTGCCACTTGCTAAATATTAAGGAAAAATATTTTGTGGATTGTTCAAGCACCCCAAGGAATTAATTTTATGAGGTTCGTTCGCATGTAAATCCGGTATTTTATTTAAAATTTAGTTACCAGTAGGAGTAAATAGGTTCACCTATCGCCAGTTTCACACTCCTCTTCAGTCTTTAGAAAAGTAGTAAATATTTATACCTTGTTTCCTCTTTAGGACAGTGTTTCCGGTTCCTTCTAATGTCTACATCAACTCTATAGTTCTAACGTCTCCGCCTAAACTCTGAAATCTTTATCTTCAACAGGAGTAAATAGGTTCGCTTATCGTTCGGTTCACACTCTTCTCTGGTCTTTTGAACAGGAGTAGAAGTTTATCCTTTCCTTCACGTTTAAAATCCTGTTTCTGGTTCCTTCTAAAGTCTTTTTCATTCCCTTTCACTCCCATAACCCATTGCGTCTTAGTGGCATTATCGCCTTGCTTAGGATGAATTGATTAAAAAAAAATAACAAAATATTTTGACCCTTACAGGATGTCCACTACTTCTGGTCATGTGACAGATTTAGCATGGGCATTTGTTACGAAGCAATGCTAAACCAATCCTAGCGATATTCGATCTTCAATGAATGCTGGTTATTTTTTCTAAATTAAATGTGTTCAGAATGACCTAGTTAAAGGCCATTATGACACCAGCATGACATACGGCATACATGCTTTCCAGCCAACTTTATTTAAATTCCCAAGTGGTCACCTTGAGGGAAATTTTTTCATCTTTGGGAGGCTAAAGTGGAATAAATGAATCTGGATTATGTAGGTAACTTGAGATTCCACGTGTGTGGCTTGCAAGATTAGGGGTGCACTGTCACAGAAAGACAAAGAGATTAGAAACCGGACATGAATAAGATTCGACAACATTCCAGAACACAACAGTCACTCGAGTGTGGTCAAAAACTACACGATCGAAACAGTATGGAAAAAAAGGACGAAAAAATTAGTACAAACGAAAACGTAAAAATTATTTACACTATTTACATTGTTCGGACTATTGTCCTCATCTTCATTCTCATATTCACGATATTTCGGCCGTTGTACGCTCTGTCCTTCTTCAGGATCTGTCTATATTTCTGAGATGAGGTATTTTAACTATTTAAACTATTTTTATTGTTCGGACTGTTGTCCTCGTCTTCATTGTCATATTCACGACGTTTCAGCTGTTGTATGCTCCGACCTGCTTCGGGTGATATACGTTGGAATTTCAAACTGAACATTTTATTTCGTCCACCGGGGTAGATTGTTCTAGTTCCACGTGCCATGACTTTTCTGGATATCTCAATTTCAAAAACTTTGTGAATATGACAATAAAGATGAGGACAATAGTCCGAACAATGTAAATAGTTACAATACCTCATCTCAGAAATATAGACAGAACCTTAAAGTTTATTTTATAAGGCAGGTAATTGTGTATATCTGTGATGAGATCAGTGTTATGTGATTGTACGTGTGTGTGTGATGTACTCAATGCGTGAAAATACTTGATGTAATTATGGCAAATATTTGTTCATACCGTCATACATATAGTGATTTTCCAAGCGTAGCGTAGATATGACACAAGGCCGAAAGTAGGGGACACACAGTTAGGATCGAACTCGCTACACAGTCGTAATTGTTCTAGCGAGACAGGCTTGCTAACCATTACACCGCCTCGAGGTGCCCAAACCGACATACATATATTGAAGATATATCATTGTCAGAATTTCCAGATTTTCATTCGTTTTATGAAGCGACTTATTTGTTTTTATTTATAGCATATTTGATTTTATTCTTTAAGCCAAATAAGATATCAGAAATTAAACAAAAATCAAACAACGTAGATTTTCATGAACACAACTTTAATAAATATTTCAGAAAATGGTTACATTTAATAAAAAAAATAGAATTTATAATTTATTTTGAAATAATAAATAAAATATCAAATTTGGATGCTTAAATACATTTTTGCATCAGAGTATGTTTTATTCACTAACATTTCGTAATTCACAAAAGCGTATTTACATATAATTTGGTGTGAAAGATATTAATATAAATTAACGTCTGCTATTTCAATAAAATGGACAATTTCACATCTTTTCACCTGTATCCTCTTGCTTCTTTAAATAATGACCTGCATTCATAACTGTAATTTTTCGGGTGAGTTCTTTAGTGCGGTGCCTACACTTTACGAATTTAAGCGTAGTAGTAGATTGACAACAAGATCTCATCATTTTACAGTTGAATGGCGTAAGTTCTATGCTAACAGTTTCTTCTCTCACACTTCTCGCCTGTGGAGCTCTCCTCTGTCTCCTTGCTTTCCAGTCAACTTTGATCTTTAAAAATTTAAATGCAATGTCAATCGTTATCTTCTGCGTTCTTGATTCCTCTTCTTTTATTGTTCTCACTCTTTAATAATGTTTTTTTTTTCTTCTATCATCCACGTGTGTCTCAGTGGCTTTATTGCCTTGTTTTGGAGTGAAACGATTTTTTAAAAAAGAAAAACCCTGAATTTTTCATGAGTACTGCTAGTAATGTAAAGTACAACTAAATGAAACATTTTTTCAGTTGTAATGTGGTCCAGCTCAAGGGTATCTTTTCACCACCGAATTTATGATACATGGCTTCCGACTCGACTGCAACTCAATTTTCCTAAGATAGTATTCATATAAAATACACATTTTATTGTAACCTAATTAAGTGCAGTAATGGATAATATGCAATATAATGATTTATTAAGCGTAGCTTCGCTGCGGCATAAAGTCGAAAGTATGCGGCAGCCAGTTAGGATCGAACTCACTATGCAGTTGTAACTGATCTAGCAAAAAACAAACTTTTTCCGCCGTTACACCACAAATTCTAACATCCACTTCAGATTTTTCTTGTTAAAAAGTTGAATAATTTTAACACATTCAATATTATGACTAAAGAAATAGAGAATTTTAAATAGTATCTTTTCGTATGAGTAAAACAAATTCGTGGATTTGGACCCAAAAAGACGTGACGTCAAGATCCAAGAAAAATGTTCAACCCTTAATAGTCAGTTGCACTTAGTTTCATTTGTAACGTATATTAATATAGGTAGAATAAAAAGCAAATGTTGATAATATAGCGATGGTCAAAAAGAATTGCCCGGGGACCCCAATTAGACTTTGGGGTTAGTACGCACCGGCATCTCCACTGATTTAATGGAAATGAAATGTAAAGAAATTCGCATTTTCGAAATGAAAGTCTCTCTCTCTCACACTCTCTCTCTCTCTCTCTCTCTCTCTCTCTTTCTGTGTGTGTGTGTGTTTCTCTACATCTCTCTGTCTTTCTCTCTCTTTTTCTATCTCTCTGCATTTGTCTCTCTGCTTCTCTCTCTCTGTCTTTGTCTCTCTTCTTCTATCTCTCTGCATTTGTCTCTCTGCCTCTCTCTCTGTCTTTCTCTCTCTTCTTCTATCTCTCTGCATTTGTCTCTCTGCCTCTCTCTCTCTCTGTCTTTGTCTCTCTTCTTCTATCTCTCTGCATTTGTCTCTCTGCCTCTCTCGGTCTTTCTCTCTCTTCTTCTATCTCTCTGCATTTGTCTCTCTGCCTCTCTCTCTCTCTGTGTCTTTGTCTCTCTTTTTCTATCTCTCTGCATTTGTCTCTCTGCCTCTCTCTCTCTGTGTCTTTGTCTCTCTTTTTCTATCTCTCTGCATTTGTCTCTCTGCCTCTCTCTCTGTCTTTGTCTCTCTTCTTCTATCTCTCTGCATTTGTCTCTCTGCCTCTCTCTGTCTTTCTCTCTCTTCTTCTATCTCTCTGCATTTGTCTCTCTGCCTCTCTCTCTCTGTCTTTGTCTCTCTTCTTCTATCTCTCTGCATTTGTCTCTCTGCCTCTCTCTGTCTTTCTCTCTCTTCTTCTATCTCTCTGAATTTGTCTCTCTGCCTCTCTCTCTCTCTGTGTCTTTGTCTCTCTTTTTCTATCTCTCTGCATTTGTCTCTCTGCCTCTCTCTCTCTGTGTCTTTGTCTCTCTTTTTCTATCTCTCTGCATTTGTCTCTCTGCCTCTCTCTCTGTCTTTGTCTCTCTTCTTCTATCTCTCTGCATTTGTCTCTCTGCCTCTCTCTCTGTCTTTCTCTCTCTTCTTCTATCTCTCTGCATTTGTCTCTCTGCCTCTCTCTCTGTCTTTGTCTCTCTTCTTCTATCTCTCTGCATTTGTCTCTCTGCCTCTCTCTCTCTCTGTCTTTGTCTCTCTTCTTCTATCTCTCTGCATTTGTCTCTCTGCCTCTCTCTCTGTCTTTCTCTCTCTTCTTCTATATCTCTGCATTTGTCTCTCTGCCTCTCTCTCCGTCTTTCTCTCTCAATCTCCATTTATTAAAGTAGGGTTTGGGTAATTTGTGTGATTTTTTAAAAATCTGTAATTATTAAAATATACATCAACTTCATTTACACATTTTAGTTTGTAAACTTTGGGGGTCAGCCGCAGAATCACCAATGTTAAATTTGATATTTTATTAAAATTTATGACAAGATAACTTGTAAATTTTTCATAGTTACCAAATAATTAAAGGTTGAGGTATGGCAGACGCATATCTCCTGTGTGGTCTGATAACTGACATACTATGAGAAAATTCACTTCGTCGCCAATAGATACTATCACAATTCGCTTTATCTGGCCCAACCCCTAAATAGTTGGATGAATATGGTATTTATCTGCATACCAACTCGAATGGTATGTGACACAGGGTCGTGTTTAATGTGGGAGAATACGGGTACATAGATTAAGGACAATAATTCTTTAAGCCTACTCGTCACTTTCCTTTTGGGGATATCTCAAAAGAAAAGGGTGAGTTATTCTTTAGAAAGAAAGACCTCAATAGCTCGAGCACATTATAAAGGGTGCAAAAAATACTTCCAACACAATAGTAAGACATTAGCAACATGGTGCGGCAGAAATACTTCCTACATTTTAAACTGTTACCTGTTTGGTGCTAGTGGACTTATGCAAGTGACACCTGGGTATTCATCTAGCTAATGTCTTACCATTATCTAGGAGATATTTTTACCGCAACCTGTAGGTAATTTACTAAGATATGTAACAATTAAGATATTTAACCAAACGTCCATTTTTCCTATTGTGGCACAAGACCCTTTTCACGTCGGAACCCCACACGTACGTGAATCGACACCATAAATAATACATCTTTTATCAGATAAAACAAAATTGTACTAGTTTTGAATTTGTAATTGTTTGTACTATTTTTGTATTTCTTCTTCTTCTTCTTCTTCTTCTTCTTCTTCTTCTTCTTCTTCTTCTTCTTCTTCTTCTATGTGCCGTGAGTGATCATGTCCCTCCACTCCTTCCTATCCTTCGTAGCTACGATTGTCTTTTTACTATCCGCCCCTATCTCTGCTCGCTGGGTTGGTTACTGGCTGGTTCTCTCTCTCTCTCTCCTTCCAATATGCCCTGTGAGTGTGAAGGCCTAACTGGACTTCTTCTATGGGCTTCAGGTCGTAGGCGATCATGCTTCTCCACAACTTCCTGTCTTCTGTAGCTCATAATAAAGTGTGTCTTTGTGTTTCTCTCCTAAACCCTCCATTTACTCAAGCTCATTAAGTAGGTTATGCGTTGTTTTCCTCTGTCTCTCGCACTCCTTCAATCTATCCTATGAGTATCAGATTTTCCAAACCCTCTTTCCTCATTATAAACCCTCGAAATTTCAGCTGTTTACTTTTTGTTTCCATTTTCTCTAAAACTTCATATATCCAGTCCATAATTTCCTCAGCATCCTCCTGTAGAACCACATTTTTGCTGCTTCAAATCTACTCTTCATCTGTGAGGCGACTGTCCAGCATTCACTGCCATATAGGAGGACTGATATTACGTAATAGTTCAGTACTTTTTTCTTTGTTTCTAACGATTTCGTTTACATTTCTTAATACTCTGCTTAGCGCGTGGAACGCATCTTTGGCTATCATGATGAACCTGCACATTACCCCAACTGCACATAAAAGCTTACAGCACCTGGTATTCCCAAGCGGTCACCCATCTAGTTACTGACGTGGCTCGACGTTGCTTATATGTGTATCTACTAAATATAATCTTCCTTAGGCGGATCAAAACCTCGTGATACGAGCCCATATTTTGAGGTTATGAGTCTCCTTACGCACAATTAATCAATTCATCCCAAGCAAGGCGATAATGCCACTAAGACGCAACGGGCTCCTGGGAGTGAAAGCGAATGAACAAGACTTTACAAGGAACTGGGAACTCAATGCTAAACAGGAAGCAAGGGATAAACCTCTACTCCTGTTCAAATGGACGGGTAGGAGCGTGATATTGAGCGAGTTTGAAACTTTTAAACATTTTATATCAAGTTTAAGCTAGCTGAAGTTTACTTGGCAACATAACATTGGCAGTCTGCCATCACAGTGTAATAAAGTATGAGTTATTTTTAAACAGAGCTCTTGAAGTAGGAACGCGTCTTTTATAGAAAGAAAATACGTTACTTATTCATGGAAGGACATAAAAGAAAAAATTCAGCTTTTGAGAATTTCCTTTTTTGGGTAATCGATGCGGGTACTATTTCAAGTTGTCTGGGTGCCCTTCCATGCACTTATTAGATTTACTGTAAAGGTCCTATTATTCGTCTCCATATATTCACACACTTACTCAGTGGGCTGGGAAGAGAGATCGACATGTTAACTTAATCCAATGCATCCCGGAAAAGAGCATCTATACTATAATAGTATGTCGGGTTTTAGCTGCGAAGGTTAGAACTGGTGGAACTGGGGGATATAGTCGGGTTGAACCCTTTCCATGGAAACAGCGATAGAGTAGAGAGGGGCTTGCGACTTTTCGTCTGTGGGAAAATCACTCACACGGACGCGTAGACGCTTTTCAGAATTGGAAAGTGAAGACTGGGTATCTCCAGCTCATATATGAGAGCAGTACTTCATTTTCGGTCTAATATGGATTTTGCTGTTGAAACTTGACTAATGCATGAAATAATAATGCAACACAAAATGTACTTAGAACAAAATGTATTGAAACAAGAAAGTGTACACAATATTTACATATAGTCTTTTGTATATTCCTGGTAAGACCGTTCCTGGAGAATATGTTGACTGAGTCGCAGTCGGGCAGAGTCTCTGGTTGAATCTCTTGATTCTTTCCTCTCTTCCCGGTACCAACTATATTTATATGGTCGGTACTCCACTATGCAAATTAGGTGGATCCTACCACAACACTTGCAAAGGGAGAGGATATCAGGAGGAGCCTGGTACTTACAGGGGCGGTACAGGGAAGCGATAGTTTTTCCAGTATCTTTAGCGTTTCATAGAGTAAATTTTCTGGGGCGTAGCTTACAGGTGGCACAAGTCCATAGTGTTCTAAGGCGATAAGCTTGCTAACCATTACACAACGTCAAGATGCCCAGTAGTGATTTCCTAAGCGTGGCTTAGGTGTGGCACAAGGCCGAAATAAGGAGCTACCCAGTGAGGAACGAAATTACTACTCAGTCGTAATTGATCTAGCAAGACAAACTTGCTAACCATTACATCACATTGTGTTTTTCTAAGCGTAGCTTAGATGTGACACAAGGACGCATTTGGGGAGTACCCAATGGAGATCGAACTCACTACTCGTAATTAGTTGAGCGGGAAAAGCTTGCTAATAATTTCACCACATCAAGGTGCCAAAGCGAACGGGTTATATATACGAGTTAAGGATGTCTGTGTTGTTTAAGTTCCAAGAGGCGCTCAAGGAACGGGGCCTCCCTGAGAGAACACCAGTTCATTGCGATAGGTGAACATTCCGGGACCCCTCAGTGATGATGTAACATCACTAGTTTAGTTTTTGAGACGACGAATGTGAACACTATGTCAGTTAAACCATGGTTTATTTAGCTTATAAAAAAAAATATTGTTCTGTAGATTTTGTTGAGGGCTGAGTCTGAAGAATTTTAAGAATGATAAGTTTAAAAAAAAATTCCCCATTGTGGGTTTTACGAATTCTTGGTGTAAACCAATATCCACTTTTTTTTTATTTTTTGTGATAAATGATTGGGATTGTCGACATTTTAGTTATTTATGACATTTATCAGGAAACTCACACACCAGACATCCACTGTATAAAAAGCTATGAAATTTAATAGTGGCAACATAAAATAAATACTATATCAAACACCTCTTAGTGACAAAAAATATTCATGTTACAGTGCTTTGTTATCGAATACAAGCAAATTATGTATTTTCTATTGCTGCACGTACTAAACGTGTTTCATCCACAGATACAGTCCCTACACACACACACACATATATATACATATATAATTATAATTATTATTTTTTTAAATATGATTAAAAATAATTATAATATAGGCTCTACTTGTGTATCGGGCACTGTTTTTAAAAATAAAAACAAAATACTAAAGAATTTCGGATAATTAACCTGTTCTTTCCTATTTTTAAATATATTTGCACACACACACACACACACACACATATATATATATATATATATATATATATATATATATATATATATATATATATATATATATATTAACAAATTTATTTAAAAAAGTTAAACAAATATACTGTTTAAGAAATAAATAAAAAACAGAACATCTACTGAAAATGAATATCCATTAAAAAGTAACCTTTACAAAATAAATCAATAAATGAAAATACATTCCTAATATATATATATATATATATATATATATATATATATATATATATATATATATATAAAGTGTAGGAGAACGAACCTTCATCTCTACATGTAAATTCTAAAAGACGTTTTATGAAAATTTCCAAAAAAACGGAAGTGAGGATATTTGCTTCGATAACTTTATTTCTGAATATTTTTTAGTAACCTGATGAGACGTCTTAAAAATGTTTTTTCCCTTTTTAGCGTTGATACAAAAATGTACAATTTTGTAGTGAATATGTGCATGTTCTAATGTAACACTGTGTAATATATATATATATATATATATATATATATATATATATATATATATATATATATATGTAGGTACTTTCACAGAAACGCGATATCTAGTTTAAATTAACTTTTTTAAAATGGAAAAAAAATCTTTATTTTAACTTCAAACTGATAGATTAAATTTAATATTTCTAACATGCAAAATATTTTGCTGTATTTCATTGACTGGAAGAAGTTTTCATCTTGAGATTCCTAAAATCGCTGATTTTAATATCATTTTTAGCCATCCGTCATCACAATGTCATTCTCTTTAATAAATAGAGTCAACAACGAAATTATTCGTACACCCTTCAATTTTGAATATTTTCATCTATTTCTCAGAAACTAATGCCCGTATGATGCCAGAATGTTTTTTATGTTAATAA